CATCCTTGGTGAATTTCCAAATGATGGAATCTTCCGTGTCAAAGTGATTGATATCTTCTCCCAGAAGTTAGTTAAATTGCTGGACATGCGCAAGCCATAGGCCATTGGAGGTGTCAATGAGAGAGATCCGGTTGTTGTTGGTAAGGGCTTGCTGGACAAAGGAATTCTTCTTGTGGGAGATGGCAAAGATGCTCGGTGCCAAGTCACAGGGGACCATGCAGCCATGGCAAGTTCGAGAACCTGGTCCGTTCGCCCGCATGCATGCAACTTTTGATCATAGTTTAAAAAACCAGACCATATCAAGAAAAACCTGAACCGATGGCCTCGCCGATTTTATAAGCTAATTAGATTGTTCCGTAAATGGACCGGACAAAACCGGTTGAACCAGCTTGTTTTTTTGCCCAAACCAGATGAAAAACCGAAACCGGCTGAACCAGTAATGCACACTAGCATTGCTGGCAAGAGGAAAAATAATTGCGGCCGCTAGGGGTTCAGCCTTGGGCGCAATTAAACAGGCCGACGTCACCAATTTGATCCAACAACCAACTTGCCCATCACACTTAACTGTCAAAGGCTAGAAACTTAGTATATTTGATCTATTTTACATATTTTTATGACTTAAAAAAGCAGCAAATGAACCGGTGAATCGGCGGTCCGTCAGGTAAAAATCCGAACTGGCAGCATCACCGGTTTGATCGCTAATCCGGTTTTTAAAACTATGCTTATGATAGATAGTGCATGCCTCACCACCCCATCTTTCATGATTTTTCTTTTAGCTTCTAAATTTGAATCTACTAGTCGAATGCCCGTGCGTTGCTACGGAACTTTAGAAAAATGTATAGACACGTTATTGTTCTAATTCGAAAGTGTATGTCAAACATGATGGATATTCATCCATATAACGCCAACTATCAATTCTTTCTCCCAGTGCTTTCTGTAATGTGAGGATCACTTCAAAATCGTAAATAACACGAAATAACTTTCAAATTGTGAAGATAAACATGACAGCAATTAGAAAGTTCAATTCTCTTTTTTGTTGATCATTTTGTATACGAGTATTCAATTATGGTGTAAAAAAATCTAGCCATTCTGGAGTATGTTTTATCCAGATATCTAGTCTAGCTCCCAAAACAATCTAAACAAGGGTGAAAACAGACGCTAAAGATTCAGCATCTACACCGATCAAAGTGGCCTCTTGACTTCTTGAGCCCCTTGAAGTCCATCGTCTCGATGTACTCTACGCTGCCCCTGAAACCATTGAGCAGCTTGAGCAGCTCGCTGGCCCGATCCTCGGTCATGCCGCCTCAGCACACTTGGAGCAGCTTCCGGTAGGAGCCCACACGCAGTGCCTCGTAGCAGCGCGCGCCAGCGCCGGTGTCCGCGGCACAAAAGAGGTGCCAGAGCACGGAGACGGGCAAACTCCTTGGCCATGTTGGACACGCGGAACATCTTCTTGACCAGCACCGGCATGACCAGCGCGTACGCACACGCGGACCTGAGGCCGGTGTCGGCGCACAGGACGCCATCGAGCACGGCTAGTGCCTTCTCGCTTGTCCCCTTGTCAGTGTCCACGACGAGCTCCACAACGACGTCGGCGAAGCAGGCGGTCGCTGCTGGAGATGGGGTAGTAGGCCGTGATGAGCGCGGCCTTGGTGGCCTGCAGGGACACGGCGTAAATAATGAGGCTGACGAGCGCACTGCACACGCCGGGCGTCCTCGAGATAACGTTGACGGCGTGCCGGTCGGTGGATGAGGCGAGCTCGCGGTGGACAATGGCGGCGCGCTGGCCCGCGCGGCGACCTCACTGTGCGAGAGCACCGAGACAAGGGTCTTGTGACTTGTGAGACGCCTGGGAGGCAATGCAGCGCCAGGCCTCGTCGTCGAGCGGGAAGAACATGGTAAGGGCCGCCAAGATCGTCCCCAGCGCGCTCAATGCTGCGGCGCTGGTGCTCTCCACGGGCTCTCCGGTGAGGCTCTGGAAAGCCGAGGCGAGCTGGCGGGCGGCGCCGGCAGCCACGAGGCACCGGCGGTTGCGGTCGCTCTCCTTCCCAATGGCCCTGGCGGCCCCCTGCCCGCAGGCCGCTGCGTTCCCGCGCACGAAGGCGGCGAGCACCTCGGCGGCGTCGGCCTCGGCGACGGGCACCTGCTCGGCTCGGTTGGCGACGCACCAGTCCTGGATCATGTGGCGCGTGGCGTTGTTGGGGACGAGGTCGGCGAGCCACACAGGGCCGCCGGTGATGGGGCACGTGTCGCGCCCCCGTACCAGCCACCTCTCCCGGCCATTGTTGATGCCCGTAGGTGCCTTGACCTGGTCCTTCATGAGCTCAAGCGAGATCGGGCACCGGAAGTGCGCCGGCATCGCCAGCTCCTCATCGTTCCCGGCATCCGCCACCTGCCCTCGTCGTTAGCCAT